CCCCCCCCTTTATCTCCCGCTGTTTAGCTACTTATTTCCTCCCCATTTTGCTAATGCTAGTGTTCATGCAGACACATGGTGAGACAGATTAGGGAGCTGATCCAGCTGAAAACTAACCCATTTTAGTAAGGGAGTGGGAAAGGATTTGTTTGGGGAGTGTTTGCTGGTAATTGCTGGCACAGGGAGGCAGTATGAATGAGAGGGAGGGAAAGATGCTGCCTCTTTTGCAGCAGGCTGTGCTTATGTTGGATTAAAGTGACTCTGGGCCCACACCCGTGGTCATTGTTGTAAATTGGCTGGCAGTAATCTCTGCTGAACGATGCCAAGCTCCTCTCATCCCTGGTTTTGAACCTGCCTGTAAGCACTGCTGTCTTCCTTGCCTCGGCTCCTCTCGGGCTGGAGCAGCAGCAGTCAGCCTGCAAAATGGAGACTTGCTGCAGTGCTGAGTTTGCCCCTCTGCTCTCAGCGATTCAGGGCACCAAGTGACCCACGCTCTGGTGGCAGGCAAGTACCTGTGAAGTTCAAACTGATTTGTTTCTCTTGTTTGTTTCCCTAGGTGATTTCTCTGGTCAGCTTTTAGCTTATTTGAGTCTTGGTCCAATATTCATTATTGTTGGCTTTGTAACACTCATCATATTCAAGAGAGAGCTTCACACGGTGAGTCCTTCTCTCCCTTCTCAGCTTCTCCTCATGACAAAAGTCTTTTCGTTTGTCACCTGGTGCTCCTGTATTCACACTTATTTTTCTCTCTTTAAAGAGCAAGCTTAGGTAAGGTGATCTTCCTGTCAAAGGACAGCAGGAGACATTACCACCTGTACCAGGTTAAAAGGCTGCTTAGCCTTTGCTGACTTTTCTGTTGCTCTCTGGTATGTTTTGGGCATTATCTGTCCAAAAACATCTAGAGGGGTGTCTGAGGAACTAAAGAATGCTGTTGCAGAGTGGGAACACTCCCAAGATCCAGCAGGATCATAGCACTAGTAGGTTCCTTCAAGATGGGCAGCATGTGCAGGAGATGGTGTCTGTAACTCAGTAGGATGTGCTTTCTTTGAACTACTGAGGCAGGAAAGGGGATACAAAATAAAACCTACAGATTCTTAAGGGAGTGCATCTGTCTATAAGGGCTGCTTCCCAGCTGTAAATCAAATACCAGGGACCAAAGAGACTTGCTTCTGTCCAAATGACCAACGAGGGACTTTTTTGTAATATGTAATGCTTTCTGTCTGCTCTGACAGGTAGTTGGGAACCAGTGTCATGGATAAATTCCCTTTTAGGAGGTATAAACTTCTTGTAACATTTGCCTTCCGTAAACAGATAAGATAGGGGCCAGTGAAAGGATTTTGGCAGCAGATTTCTAGTATAGGGCCATGGTGTCATGGGAACCAGTGGCTCAAGGGACCTGGGAATGGGACTTCTAGGTTATTAAGCTGATGCTGGCTAGGAGAGGCAGCTGTTAAGTTTTGGCAACCCGAAGGTTTCTTGTCAACCCAAAAGAGAATAAGGTAGAGTAACTATTGCACGAATTCATAGGTTTTTGAATACTGGGGCTTGTTAGGTGTTGATAACGAGACAGGTGTTGAGGTTGATTCCCAGTTCTTTATGTGGGAAGTCACCATTGAGCTGGAGAGAGACACTAGCTGACTTGCAGCAGCCTGACCCGTAGCTCAGGACAGAGAGTGAAAAATTGCTTCATCATCTGGAATGGGACTCAGTGTTAAGGAGGCAGAGTATCATTGCCAGCTGGGAATTTGGTCACAGCAGCAGGACTAATTTAGGGGAGGTGTATGGACTATGAATAAAAATAAATGCTATCAGTCTGGCTCAGTTCAGAATGCGAATTCACTTTAGACTGAAGACAGCAACTTCAAGATGAAAATATTCATAGAGGGAAAAGCCAGAAAGTCTAAAAAGTCACCTTTGTAAAGCTATTTACCCAAATAACAGTGTGTGCACTCCCCCTGTTGGTCGTCGGGGAAAGACAATCCCTTAAAACCTGCCCTGTTAAAAAGTGTCACTTCTACACTTGGTGGTGAAGTATGCGAACAGAATTGCTATACAGTGTCATTTCTGTCTCTTTCTGTGTATCATCTGCTGAAAAGCTGCATATACACAATGTGTTGCCAAATACACAAAGTGGGCTGAAAAAGAAATGCTTTTCTTCCTTAGGTAGAGAATTTTGAAGCCATTGGTTTTAACTCCAGTAGTCAGAAAATTAGAAACATATGGTTTGGGGTTTTCTCAACAGAGAGAGCCTGGGAAGTAGATGGATCTTTTAGCTAGGGTGACACAGTTGTCTTGCCTTCACAGATCTCTTTCTTGGGAGGGCTGGCATTCAACGAGGGAGTGAACTGGTTAATAAAAAATGTAATCCGGGAGCCTCGGCCCTGCGAAGGTATGGTATGGCCCATTGGTGTCATGGTGTCGGTTGAGTTTTGAGTGGAATGCTAACTGTGGGGGGTTAGAGGGTATTTTTCTCTTTGCCTCATGTTGGCTTTGGATGTTTGGGTGTACGAAGGCTGGCAGAGCCATCTGAGCAGAGACGTGTCCTGTGAACTCGTGTGCACATACTCCAGCACAGTGGTCTGGCTTCACATCTGGAGCGTTCCAGCTGCTATGTACAGAGTAGACCTTGACCATACTCTTTCTTCTTCTCTTCCCAGAAGCCCATTCAACAGTGACCACAAAATATGGGATGCCGTCCAGCCACTCCCAATTCATGTGGTTTTTCTCTGTCTATTCCTTTCTGTTCCTTTATTTAAGGTAAAAATTCAATGTCAGGTTTTGGCTGTTAATATGTTGAAACACCTCAAATAGATGGCTCCCTTACTGTGTGCCACTTAAGTGGCATAATGGAATTAAATCGGAGGAACTGCACAATTTTCTGTGGCTAGGGTGGATGAAGCATGTCTATCTCAATCTGAATGTAGGACTGTAGTTACCATTGCTGCAAACCGAAGGGTACGGGTGGGCCTCCTATGCCTATCTGGGTACAGGTCTCCTGATTTGCTTTTTCTAAGCCACGATGATCCACCAGTGTGAGGGGAGAGGGGGGGAATAGGGAGGAGGAAAGAAGAGCTGCTTTCTCATGTGTCTACTCAGTTTTGTCAGTGGGGTTGTCTGCAATCTTTTAGGTAATACCTGTTGCCCACTTGCATGACCTTTTAGTTCATCTCCCTTACCAAGCACTGGTTTTACATGCTGTGCTGTGCTTTTCTGAAATTCTCGCTGGGGCATGGCTCTGTCTTGTGGCTCCACGTGTGGAGGAAGACAAAACTCACAGTTCCTCCTAGCTTTGTGGACGATGGAGGGGCTCTGACGTCTTGGCTCCCTGTTGCATATGCTCAGCATGTGCCTTTCACATCAGTTGCAGTAATTGTGAGCATTTTGCTTTCCATCTCAGCAATCCCTGTTAACAGTTGGAGAGAGAGAGAAGTACGGCTTTCTGGCTTCTCTTTAACTGCTGCCAGTGGGACAGATTGCTGCTGGGATGGTATTGAGCTGCCCGTGACCCCACTGGAGTACGGCTTTCCTAGGGTTTCAGAGATAGTGAGAACAGAGATAAGGACTGCTCAGCTCCCTGCCACTGTGCTAATGGCTCTCCATCTCTTTCAGAATGCACCAAACAAACAATGCGAGGTTTCTGGATTTACTATGGCGACATGTGCTGTCCATCTGCCTCGTCACAGTGGCTTTGCTAGTCTCATATAGTAGGTATGGAGCAATTGTTTGTCTTATGCTCTCATACAGTCCTGTGGCCTTTAACAGCCAGCAAACCTGTCGTTCCTTATCCTGCGTTTCTGATCTAATTCTCGATGACTGCGTTGTACAAGTCAGAGCTTTGTGGAAGCTGCTGTGTTGCCATGAGACCCTTCAAATAAGCAAACGAAGGTGCTACATGTGTGGTGCTTTACAGAAGCATTTCTAAAACCCAAGATCAGCTGAGCTTGTACCGATTCCCCATTGGCTCCATTGCCATGCTGTAGCCTCACTGCCTCGCCCTCTTTCCAGCACTAATCATGAAAGCATTACACCATGCCTTGGCACACCAGCATCTGCAGCATGTGGATTGCTACAGTTGATCAAACTCATTGTTTTGCTTGAGCATTAGTTAACAAAAACATTTATAGCTGTTTGACTTGCAAGATTTAGTTGTATTAAGATGAATAAAGAAAATGAAACTTTAATAATGATTTTTTTTTTTCGCTTTAGTAGCTTTAAAAAAATATATATACACACATACATAAAATAAGCTCCAGCGATTGGAAACCAGACAGATTCAGGCTAGAAATAAGGCCATGGTTTCCACAGGAAAGCAATTACCTGTTGGCACAGTTGACTGTACACTAGAGCTGATTCCTTATTACTGGTTATTTTTAAAATTTTGACAGGACAATTTCATAAGAGATATATGGTCTAATTCAAATAAAAATGAATTTGAGGAAATGCAGTGGCCTGTGCTAGGCAGAGGGTCAGATAAGATGATCTTAATGGCTTTACGATATATGGGTGAAAAGAATTTTGAACGTGACTCATGTAGCTCATGTGCAGGGATAACTGAAGAGACCATTAACAGAGTTTTCTGAATGGCTGCAGTCACAGTAAGCATGCGGTGGTAGTGCAGTCTTTGTGCTGTCACGTTTGAGAGCAGCAAAATCATAACAAAAATGCTGTCTATGTTCTTAAAAGCATTTAAGCCCCAGCTTTGGTGGCTTGGAGGGGACTTGCCCTGTTACTGGCTTTGGAAAAGTCTCTTGTGGGAACCAACAGCAATAGTTCCTCAGCTAATCCAAAGATATATGAAGAAGAATGTGGAGGGTTATTGAGTTAAGCTCAAACTAGAAGCGCTCTAAGCTGAAACTGCTGTAGCAGGGAAGACAGTTTTCCCCAGTTTTTTTTCCCCACTTTTTTGCCCTAAGCTTTTTAATTAAAAAAAGATACCCACTTTTAACATCTGGAGGATAACTTGCTCAGATTGTCTGAGGGTCCAGTGAAACATCAGCCCTTGAGTCATGCCTCTTCTTGTTTTAAAGCCTGTTTGGTGACTCTTCTCTTCCACTGCAGGGTTTATTTGCTTTACCACACCTGGAGCCAAGTCTTATACGGAGGTGTGGCAGGGAGCATTATGGCCATAGCCTGGTTTGCCTTCACACAAGAGATATTAACTCCTCTCTTCCCAAGGATAGCTGCATGGTAAGTCTCTCTCTGTTCTGGGGAGGTTTTATTCCTGCAAGTCTGCATTTTGTGGATTGCTGTTTTGCTCATTAAATGAGTCCCTTGCAATGAGCTGGTAACACAGGTGTAGTAGAATTACCTGGCAAAAGAAAATTTTCCTAATCAATTGGTGTAAAAATTGTACCTTGCATCTGAAACAAAACAAACATAAAGATACTTCAGTCGCTAAAATTTTAGTTGTAGCTGTGCAAGCCCTGACTGTAAACGGGCTGCTCAAACTTCTATGAACCACCTAAGTTACAGATGTTAGAAATGAGAATTCCTGGGTTCTGTTCCAGTTTTGCTTACTGACTGTTGTGTAACCTACTTCTCCTCCATGCCTTGTGCACGCATATACAAAGAATCATATGTCCTTGCCTGATACTGTGCGGGAGAGAGAACGTTTAAGCAACTGTACGTTTGTAAAGCCCTACTAAAGGTGTAAGGTGTGGCGGAGTGCTGGAGAAGCTTTTCAAGCAGAACAGACCTTTCTTAATGACCGTCTGACTTAGTGAAATTGCAAAGCCATTTAAATGTAATATAGTCTGGAAACATTGTATAAGGAAAAAAAACCAAACAAACAAGAGTGTTGGTTTTGGTTTTTTTATTAAATTTAACGAGGAGCTCCTTTCCCAGACTGAAGGGTAATAGAGTAGTAATGTTAAGTCTGGAATAGTTTTCGTGCTATTTTTTTTCTATTTTGATCAAAATTGTGGTGGAGGAAAAGTCTAATTATTTCCCCCTTTCCACCACCTTGTCCATTTCCAGGCCAATTTCAGAGTTCTTTTTAATCCGAGATACCAGCCTCATTCCTAACATCCTGTGGTTTGAATACACAGTCACAAGAGCAGAGGCAAGGTAAGTGATCTTGAGGGGTGGAGGAGCTGTAGCTGGTTTGACTTGTTACATGTAGTTATTAATTTATCTTCTAATATGTAGATAGTTGCTGTGGGTAGAGTAGTGCAGAGTAAAGAAATACCAAGTTGTGGGTTAACCACTGCATCTGGAAGGTGAGTCTGTGGGGAGTGTTTGGGATTAAAGAATGTTTTGTTTAAATAGTATTTCAGCTCCCTAGCCCACATTCTTTGCAAGCAATTGTTTATAATCTTGCATCCACATGTCAGCTTGTGCACACTTAAGACACGATGGATGTTCTAGGACTGTAAAGAGTAGGAAGGACTATTCTGCTTTTTGAGTATGGTGGGGGCAGCTTTATTTTTGTGTGGAGCTAAGCAGAGCCTGACTTTAATCTTCCTATATTTTGTCCCCTGGTTTGCCGCAATGCCCTGTGATAGGGTCGGGGCCGCCTCTCTCACCCTGCCCTCTGTGTTGCCGTTGCAGAAACAGACAGCGCAAGCTGGGTACGAAGCTCCAGTGACTCGGGAAGTGCGGGAACCAGAGCGCACGTTTTAACGGAGACGGACAAGAGCAGAGACCTGGGAGCAGCAAGGAGCCTTTTAACAGACGGACCAAAGGAACAGGCAGGGACCATACCCAAAACCTGAAAGCCTTTGCTCTGCTTTAGCAGCAAGCTGGATGCTCCCTGATGCATGTGGGACCGTGCAGGAGTAGAAACTCATTTTCAACACAGATGCACATTGCCAGTTGGAATGTACCATCGTGTCCACGTCAGGGGAGGGGGGAGAAAATGCCTGGTGTCATGTTCAGGGGAGGGAAACCCAAAAATGAATCCTTTCTGTGACTTTTTTTTTTCCAGCATGAAATATACGCACTATTTATTTATTTTTTTAAATGGAACTATTGTTTTTGGGGTGGGTGAGGCATTGTGTGTTTTGGTTTTGCTTTTTGTTTGGGTTTTTCTTTTTGGAAGAAGATGACAAAATTAATCTCAAGTTGATCATACTTAATTAGGGCTTTTAATTTTTAAAAACTTCTTAGGAGGGAGGGGGACAAGGATGGGGTGACTTGGGCAGATGGGAGAGGAAGGCTTCCTTTCCTTTCTGCAACCACTTTGGGAGATCAAAATCAATTCCAACTGCACTTTGTACAGATGGAAAGAAAGACTAAAGATCTGATTTTTAACACTAGTGACGGTTCTGCAGGGAAGCCTGCACGGATACCATTAAGGGGAGTGTGTGTGTAAAACAAAGGAAAAACTGAAATATACTGACTATTTTTTTTTTCCACTGCTGCTCCTGTTGTGTAATTAGCAAGAGTGTCTCTCTCAGAATCTCTTCTAGGTGGCAAGATTATCATACATATCTCACATTTATTCCATCTCTTCCTTTATACTTTTATTACCTCAGGGTTGCTGTGATCTGTACAGCTTCTGTTGTTGTACTGAGTGTGCTACCGATGGCACCAGAAAGCCCGTTGGTTATAAGCAGTGCTGTGCTCCAGTAAGAGTCAGCCCAAAGCCTTACAAAATTCAGTTGCTAGTCTCTGTCTTAAGCACTGGATTTTTAATTTTTCTCTGTTAAAGCTTAAGGGAGGGATTTTTAAGAATGAACAAAGTGACAACCGTAAACGAATAACAAGGCAAATGACTAATAACTATCTCAGCTGTTGTCTGAATTATTTCTCAGAGAGTCCTGTTAGAATCCAACCATGAACTCAAGTAGTGAGCTTATCCTACCAGTTATTACAGTGGCTTGGTCGGGGTTCTGCAGTAGTAACCTTGAACGCCGAACTGCAAGCACGTTTTGCTTTCCATCCTTCTTCCATTCCGATTCTTCATGTGGCCAGTCAGCTCTCTGGATGCTGTGTCTCTGTGGGAGTGTGCCTGCCATCTGTGCGTGCTGGTGATGTCTACGACTTCTGTGATCCATGAGTTAACCTGGCAAGGGCTATACTCAAAGTGCTTCAGGGCTGTGCATGGACACTTTCTGTATTTCTGGCATATAATGCAGCAGTTCAAGTGTAACTACAGGGGAGTACTTATTCAAAGCACAATTGACTTGAACTTTCACAGATAAAGGACAGCTTCTGAACTGGCTCAAAAGTCATCGGTGTGCCTTCGATGCAGTCATGTGAGCAGAGGTAGAATGACTGTCACATCCCAGTCTTGCTGCCTGTTTTACTAGCTCCACTTTAATCAGACTCCTGCATTATAAAGCTGCTTGAAGTGAGATGTGTTTCCGTCCATCTTGATTTTTTTTTTTTTTAAAGTTTTCATCTGTGCCTGTTGCCATAGGAGTTTCTGTGTTCGTATGGAGCGGGAGCTGCTGTAGAAAGTATTGGACAACCAGAGTGTTAACTGTAGAAAGCGGTGATCCTGATCTAGGAGATCAAGAATGAAGGCTGTTTAAGTTGCTGTGTTTAAGTAGCTATGGGTAGTAAACTAACTGTTTTCAGTTGTTACAGCAAATATATTTTTTTTAAAGAACTGTTTAGTATTTGCATAACATGAGCAATCCTGTTAACATCTGAAGGACCTGAGCGCTGGATCTGAAGGTGCATCAGAATAAAGAGGCATCTTGCAGCTTTCACAAGGACACTTGATCTGACTTAGAACAGCTCTATTAAAATGAGACAGGACATCAGATAGGCCACGTGACATGGTGGTACCGTATGTTTCGGTTTGAAAGCTGGTACTAATCACTTATGTCTTGCAAAACCCATTTATTTTCTCTTTATATCTCTTGTAAGTTAACTCAGAAAGCCAGAAGGGAGATCATGGCTCTCTTCCCCAAGGACAAGGCTGAGAGAGTGGATTGTTTCAAGAGTGGCTAAAAATTCCCCAGCCCCCCTTTAGCTGTTGTGGCAGACTGCCTGGAAAAAGCACTTCCCTAGCCTCTCTTAAGCTGTTGTGACAGACTGCTGGAAAAATTGTATGTGGAAGCACCTATTGAGAACTAGAGATAGGGAGGAGGTTTCATCTCCTTGTGGAGAGCGGTGTAGTGTAAAAAGCTGTTCTGCTTCATGTTGCCTTCAAACCCAAGCTTCCCACAGTAATGCTTAGGAGTAAGGGAGAAGAAGAGCTCTTGTAAGACACTATAATAAACTCTTCTCTGTTCTCTGTGAGTTGTTTGTAATCTGCATCTTCTGCCTACTTTTGCTGTACCTTTCCAGAAATCTTTGCAATACTTGATATAGTAGAAATTCCTTAGTGATCCCATGGATTTTCTTAACTAAATGGTGCTGTGCAGGAAAAAGATTTGAGCTCTGCCTTATTATCCTACACTTGTACGAAGTCTCCTGCCACTAGTTTTCTGAAATGGAATATTTTCTTTGGAATATGTGGCTTTGCAAGCGGATGCTTTCTGTTCCTCCCCTGTACTCAAGGGGGCTGGATGGAGATACTAAGACAATAAAAGGAAGGTGACAGAATGCTGTGGTTCACTGTTCTTGCTCTCCCCACACAAACGTCCTCCCATAAGGGTAGTTATGTAGCTTCTGCAGTGTCGAAGGAGATGTAAGCCTTTTTGTAGCACTTATCTGTTTATTGTGTTTCATTTTATTCAAAGAACATTTCAAAACTTTGCATGACATGGATTACACTACTGAAACAGTATTTAACACAGCTAACCAGCAAAGCATGCAACACTACCAGGCTGTGTCATAAATTGCACTCATATGCCAAGAGTTATCCGAATATCTTCAGTCTATGCATTTCTTAAATTATTTGTTCCTAATTGGTAGTTTTTCTGGAACTTGAGTTTCTTGTACTTAATGTGCCTTTAAGACAATGGACATCCCTTGATAAAACAATCGGAAACAGGGAGAATAGTATTCAGTAAGTTGACACTGAAAAAATCAAGAAGGTATGAATCGGAAGGACATCACATTTTAGAACTTGTACAATAAGAAAAGACTTTTTAAAGGAAAAACCTTGTAATGATTTTAGTGTCCTTTCAAGCACTTACAAAAATCAGCTTCACTCATCTGAATTTCAGCTCCATGTATCATTAAGGATATGTTAAATGGTTTATGAATCTTGTATCTCTTTCAATGTGATAGCCTGCTTCTTGCAGCTGTACTCTGCTGAAGCTAGTGGGATATCCAGATTTAGATGCAGAATAGATCAATCCCATCTTCTGGGATACAGTCACAGCAGCGCACACTTCTGCTTAATCTTTAATAGGCACTTTCCTTTGAGAGCCTTCCCCTTCGGCACTTTTCTACTTCTGTCTTATCAGTCTCAAATACTTAAGTGGCAATACTATAGCATCAGTGGTTGAAGGCATTGTGGACAGGGAAAAATAACTCATCCCCTAGCAATAGAGGTTGATTCAGTATGGGGGGAGGATTACTTTGGCAAAAAGAGTATTTTTTTCAATGTAAAAGGCTCCATAAACCCAGATGTTGTTCCAGCAAGGTTTGGTCTTTTATGTAGTATTTACACAATCGCTTACACCATGATAATACTGAGTGTCCTCTTGCAGTTTTTAGCCTAATTCATACAGAGGAGTCAACAGAGCAGGGATGCGTGCTCCCAGGTTTGTAGTGCTCCTACTGTGGGTTGTTTTTGGTTTTTTTTTTTTTTTTAGACTATATCACTCCATTCAGGATTCTTCTCAAAGATCAACTAAATCCATGTAGATGATGTGAAAGTGGCAGTTCATACAATCACTGGCTGTGCAGGTGAGTTTCAGTTAAATTTTCCTTTTTAAGGTTTATTTAGGTATAAGATAGAAGCTTTGAAATAACATCCTTTTAGGAAAAAATGCAGCAGTGTTGGCTTGTGTCTTCCAAGAAGCAAGTTAGAATGATTTTTTTTTTTTCCTTTCACTTTAGAAAGGTTTAGTGCAAATTTCTTCATATATGTTCACCAAGGCACTTTGATCATGTCCCTTGCTGTTCAATGATCAGAAAAGTAGCAATTATGATCAAATATTTCCCTGTAACAAAAGAGGCAATCAGACTCCTAATGCTTCTTGTTTACGGTGGTGTCCCAGCAGCCATGTCTTGAAGGGGGTGCAATTTAAATATTAAATTCTTGTTGCAGAAATAGCATTAGCATTCTTCAGTACCATACAGCTTTACTAAATAAAAGTATAGTCAGGAGCTTGGATTCTGGCACATTCATTGGGAGTAGTGCTTAGAAAAATTCCTATCCTAAAATTGTATGTTAATGTTTATATATAATCTTTTACTGTCTCAAGTTTGAACATGAAAACACTATCATGAGGTCATTCTCTCACAGAATAGAGGTGGCACAAATCTGAGTAATGTTGCAGTAAGAAAAAACTCCCAAGAGTGGCAGAAAAGGCGCAGTACTGTTAACTGCGGGAACAGTGGCTGCCGCTGTGGACAAATGTCTACAGTGCCCGCATGTTCTCGGCTTTTTTCCTGCTTTTCAAGATTTTTCTGCCTTGTTAAAGCAGAGTGATGTGAAAGAAGTGTGATTCTGCAGCTGTTTTTCCTTCGGCTCTAACAGATTTGAATTCTGTGGGCCAGAAACAGATGTATGTTCTGGAGTTCCTAATCAGAAACATTCTTATTTGTCCACAACTTAGGCATAACACATTATGCACAAATATGTTGTTTCTGAAAGAAAGGTATAAAACCACCTTGGGTTAACATGTGTGCCCTGAAGGAGACTAGGCATGTGGCCTTCTGGGTAATAACAGAAGGTCAGCATCTGTTTCTTTTCCTCAGTCCCGAAGAAAGGTACAGTGAAGCAAGTGTCCTGCTAAATGCATAGGCAATCCCTTCTCATCTCTCCAAATGTTAAGGTACATAAAGCCAAAGCCAGCAAAACCTGTGCAAGAGAAAAGTTTTGTGGAAGCTTTGCGGGGGAAAAAGCTTTACGTTGAGCCTGGAGATCCATGGCTAGGACCACAACAGCAAGCTTAACAAAAAGCCCAGAACAACAACAACAACAAACAAACCACCTTAGTTTGTAGAGAATGATAATCTGTTGTTAATAGGGTCAGTGCAACAGAAAGGAGATCCCAGCATCCTAAAATGAGGGGAAGGGAACATTCCCAGGCCTGTAAAGCATGTAATGGTCGGAGTGCCTGGGATAAGTAGTGTAGTGCAGTGCACTCTAACTGCTCCGACTTAAGAACTTCTTTCTCCCCTTGCCAAAGGTCAATGGTGACATTTTACTGGAGCAGCAGAAAAATCTTAAGTCGAGTTTGAGAGATGCTGTGCTCTTCAGAGGACTAAACCAGTAAAAAGACTTGGTCTTACAGTAGTTCCATCATATAGTAAACATTCCTTGTTTTTCCTGGAGAACTACCTTCCTCACCAAATGGAGTTAGATACTAGGAAAGGACTGTATTCTGTATTTCTGTATTCCTTTACAGTAAGTCCCATAAAATCATATTTCAGTCCTCTCTGAGGA